TATACGTATACGCACTTTCTCTGATTATTGTCAAACAAATACATTTCAGGAGAAGAACATAACAAACAAATGCCTGAAACGAATGCCGAAACATAAATCCCAAGTAATTAAGTTTAGAATGTTTTATTCTTTTACGATTTGATAAGAGACTGAGACTAAGAAATTAAATGCGACGAAATATTTTGACAACGTAATTTGTATACTGTTTTATTCTTAAAGTTCTATACCTTATTTTATCTGTTTCAAAATGTTTCATTTTATTTTGCCTATATAAAAGAGATTGAAGAAGATAAGATAAACTGTTCCGTAATATATATTGTGTTTTAATAACCTTTTTTAGAATCACAATGTAAAATAAATCTCCCGTTCCTGCCATTCTGGTAACGCCATGCAATGGATGCAATTCAAAGTGAGAGAGAGATCTATGAATATCAGAATGCGTCCATGCCATTAATTTGGCCAAATACATGGCAATATATACGAATCGAATGTATTCTCGTGTGCATTACAATATCCCCATTGAAACATTTTTGGCCTGCAATGGACGTATAATGAATTAGAATATGAGGCCGTGTTATCATTCTAATGTAAAATCATGGTATTTACTGTAGTATTGGGTTGCAAGTTAATATCAGATTCAATGCAAATTAATCATCTAATATCAGATGCGCGATCAGTCCAATAATCTAATTTCAGGTCATCAGTTCGATATCTAGCACTTGTTCTAACGACACGGTATTACTAGACTATCATATTATAAATACACACACATATAAAACAATCAAACTGGTACACGATATATGCACGACTGCTCTTTCAATTGAGTATAAATGTTGATAAACTTACCCGGAAGCCAAGACATACACGTTTAGACGATGCTATTTTCAGTTCAGTGTAAGAGTAAATGCCCGGATATCGAGGCTTTTTCGTGTAAAGTTTTAACCAAGCATCTAAAATCGGGTTATATTGCGTGTAGAATTTATCGATATCAGGGCCGCTACATGCCAGTGATCATATGTATTCTGTATTTTTATAAGAGTCAATATAGGTCAATAGTATTATTGAAACAAGTATATTTTGTTACAGTTCATATTTTGCAAGTCCTCAAAGTCAGTTTTCAATATTAGTATCAGCAAAATGTAGTGGGTATGCATATAGCAGCCACATTGACACTGATGTATGCATTATGGACCCCGCAGCGATGCACACCTCAGTGATGCACACTGCAGCGATGCGCACCGCAGTGTCACAACCATATAAAAATAGCACCCCCCCAGTCAAAAGCTGGCTACGCCCCTGAGGTATTACAATGAACAGTGTTCAAATCAGAAATATCCTTATAACATGTTTCCTGTAATATCCTGCAGATCATTTTACATGATTCTACAAGGTTTTGTCGGTTGTTTTGTTGGGATTTATATGTTTTTGTAGTCTCTTTCAATTATGTATAGATTTCTATGGTCAGAACTTAATCCATTTCCTTGAGTGGGATTGATATAACTTTCATATTTTCTACCGTTTGTGTTGATATTTAAAAGTTTAAAACTATATCTTGCATAGTTTAGAGGCCAGGTTAGGATTTTTGGGGATTTGTTTCAATGATAGTTTGCTCTTTTCGTTTCTTCATTTAATTCATGTAGACACTGTAATATTATTAAACAGTCAACAAATGATGCCACATTTCCAAATAATACAACTTTTCAATTTATAAAATCCAGGTGAGGAGGCTCAACAGTTTTTCATGGGAAAAAAATGATATACGATATCAAAAGTGGGATATTTTGAAATTCAAAGAATGAAATCGTAAATTATTTATCTAACTACCTGTAGTGCGTATTCATTGTTATATTTGGACTACAAAGCACTAGAGCTTTTGATTATAGGATTTTAATGGACTTCTTGTGATGTTTCAATTTTTCAATGTTGCTTGAACACATGCTGTGTTCTCATTTTTCTAGAGTGAATGTTAAATTATTATTTCACTGAAAAGAATGCAAACTTGGTTGGAGAATACGCCTTTTTATCACTTTCAAAATTCTCAATTGGTAGAAATTTAACAAGTCCATTCTTACCAATAAAATTAATAAAAAGAAAAATCAACTGAAATATTGATTTTTTAATCAGGTTTAAATGTTTTTATTTGCATTTTCATTTGCGCCTATTTTAGAACAATGGTTGCTAAAAAAGGCATTGATGTGACGTGTGGAAATATGAAAAATATAAGGCCTATATTAATATTATTTGTATGATTGTTACACTTGGAGTCTCGGAGGGAGTGTAAGTGGTCACTCATTATTTTTGTGACTGAAATTCTGTACAAAATTTCCCTGCTTATCACCCTATTTCCTGATTTTGAGAGAATATGTTTTGAGAAACAAGAAAAGGGTCAGTGAGGCAAATTAGAATGTGGTGTAAAATTGCTACAGAAGTTGATTTTGAACTGTGAAGTGCAGACATGACTTCAAAATCACCAAAAATCGCGTAACATTCTCCATTTTCTCCAAGCTTAGTACCCAAATGCTAGATCCCATCTTAGGTAGTGGGCTGTATAGCAAGGTTGGTCGGGGTCGGGAGCTGGGGATAATTTTATTGCTTAAATATAACCATATCATCATCCTACATTAGAATCCACTCAGTCTGACATCAATTTCTGGTGCGAAAGTTGTCATTTTTGAGTTTTACCCCCCTTGATGACAAGGTTAGTCCCTTTATTATCTGTTTACTACAAATGATTTTAAAAAAGCAGAACTGATTTCATTGTGAGAAAATATTTCACTACAGCAATTTTCTGATTACATAAATTCTGATCACCTATAGGGAGCATCATAAAGTCAGGTTTTGCATTTAGGGTGGCTTAGAGAGAATAGTGATTCAAACAACACAAGATTTCTGTATATTTTGGGGGAAAATAAACATTTTGTCAACAACTGACTAAGTTGACTAAGCCAAGCAGTTCCCTCAGTTCCCAGGAAATATACAATTACATTATGTAAACATTAATCCTGCGTCAAAACTCATTTGGGATAATCAGACAACTCAAAGCAGCAAGTTGATATACCATGTAGACATGATTAAAAAGAAATTATAGATTATTGTCTACAAATCTCGACCATGTACCCAACATGAATGACATTTCCAACCTTACATCTTGGCAGAAATCATGTTTAATAGTCTGTATTTGCTTTGATAAGATTTTGATGGATAAATTCAATTAAATATATTTCATGCGGCAATCCATGGGCCTTTCACCGAGGAAGTGCCATAGAACTCTTCCTCTACCATAACTCTACCGACAGGACAAATTTGGCAAAGATGACATGTCATAAAAAAAGTGGATGGGGCAGACTTTAGCCAATTCTTGGCTAGAAGTAATTTCATCTGGAACAACGTGAACGCAATTTGAAAAAAGCTGGCCGGTGTGTCATAATTTTATTAAATATTTTAAAAAATGCCAGATAAATAAATCATTAATTAAAATGGGACCGGCTGGGCTCCTTGATGAGATATTGCATGATTTCGTCTAAAATTAAAACAATTGGCTCCAAGAAAAATAGCGATATTCGAAAACTGGACGAAATGTCGTTAATGTCTGACATTAGTAACTGGCTGTAAATTAGCGATCCAGAAGATGTGAACTAATACATTGATTGATCACTTTGTGTGTGACTTGGAATTTTTGGTGAGATAATAAGACCAAAACTTGCAATTCAAATTTTGATGTGGAAAAATGGCGGACATTTGATTTCAAATTTTATGATTATGACATGACGTGATTTATCTTTGGACGAAGGCCACGATACACTGGCCATAGAAGAAGGTAAGGGCAGACTCCAGGAGTTTGGACTCACATTATATATGTTATACACAAAAATATATGATACAGAAATTAAGGTTTATAGTCTACACTCGGTTCTACCCTTCAGGCAGATTGATTCGCAAATCACAAGCAGAACATTGAAATAAAGTCCTGCAGGAAGCAAAACATGTTGTGTGGCATGCAAACAAAAAGAGCATCAAACCTTGGTTGTATCCTCTCCAGCTCTGTCAGCGTCGTCAAGGGCTCGCAGACGCCCTTCATAGAGTCCCTTGAATTCATTTAAAAGTCCCTGCATTTGCCCACTTGTGGCCATTTCATTTCCGTTTGTTGGATTTCTATGGTCAGAACTTAATCCATTTCCATGTGTTCTAGTTGCCATTCTTGTTGAATATTACCAGTGCTCTATGTGCCCCGAATATCCATTGTTGATTATATCTATGAAATAACTGAATCGATGAAGTAATATTGAAAATATCATACTAAAATTGAATCAAAACATTTGAAAATATGGCAATCACCTCCGCCATTGGTAGACGCGGCATACTGTGATTTGATTGGTCCAAACGGTAACCTTTGACATCAATTTTGAAGAGCTCCTAACAGGTGCTCTCCACGCCAGGGATCTGTTACCTAACGATCCTTACTGGGTTTGAACTCACAAAGAAAGCAAATTTGCCTCATTTTTGGAGTGGCCTCCATTTATCGATATACATTCATGGTCCATGCTAGGATTAAACTCCTCTTGATCATAAGAAAACTCACAGCCCGACTCATAGCCCCAGGAATAAGATTTACACCCCACACTCACTGTATAATGTAGGAACAACACATAGTGAGTGGGAGGGGGATGAACTCTTGTTCCCGTGTCTATTAGAAAACTCTTGTGACCGGGCTTGTGACACACTTCCAGGGCCCGTCCCGGGGACATACCTACCCGCACCACACCTTTCCTCTGTTAAATGAAGTAGATAGTGGGAGGGGGGTTCTAGAGAATTGAAAATAATTCAAATTGTAGCAAATCTCTCTACAGTTATATATATAATATAAACTACAGTATTCAAATAGTTATAAGCAACTGGTGTGTGGCAATCTGTGACGATGGCGAACGTTGTGTGTCGTTGAAGTGGATTTGCGCAAGACAATGTTCTATGGTGGATCTCATTAGGTACGCACGTAAAGTCCAGCATACTTCAAGGTGATTGGAAAGATGTAAAATTCTCACACGTTTATTAGACTTCTGATTCAAAATGTAAAACTTACTCGACTAAATGATACACTACTAGAACAATGTGGAAACTTTTCAAAAGTTTACCCAGATGTAAGTACAAAATGATGTTTAATAATCAAGAAAATTACATTTTATTTGAGGAAGAAATATTTCAACATCATAAAAATCAACTTCCGGTGTCAATGAATGGGCCGAAATGGGGATTCCAAGCTGTTCCTATCTAAATGCCAATGCAATGCAATGAGTCTTTCGGGATATCACTCCCCCCCAGTTTTCTGCAAGTTAAAATGCTCAATTCTGCAAGTGAAATTAGTGAATTCTGCAAGAAGAAAGGGCTAATTCTGCAGAAATTCCGCGGATATTCTGACGAGAACCGAAAGAAAAACTAATGGTTTTCGAACCAGTAAACGGGAAAATATCGTGATAGTCAGGTTGTCAGTCACTACATACATGCTGCCATCTAACGGCAGAAATCAAACGATGGCGTTTAGAATTTTCACTTCGCATAATTTGGGTTATTTCTGCAAGGGATTTGACTGAAAACGTGTCAGATTGTTACAGGTAAGACTGACTTTTTAAACTTTTGGAAAATATATGGATTCTGCGGAAAATTCCGCGGAAATTGACCAAAATAGTTGATTCTGCAATTCCGCGGGCAGAGGCAAATTCCGTCCGCGCTCTGCAAACACGGAATCCTGGGGGCAGTGGGATATAGTACATTTTATACACAATAAACCCTTCCCCAATCAAAGAACAAAATCTTACTCTTAGAATTTACTCCACAGCATTCCTGTATATATAACAATAACACGGGGAGTAAATCGCTCCCCTTCTCCCAACAACACTGGCAAAAACTCAGTAAATATTTGAGTTTTTAATTGTCATTTCTATGGAAATATACCGGGGAGTATGACATACAGTTTACTTCACATCATGATCATTCCTGTGTATCTAGGCCTATAACAACACGGGGAGTAAGTCGCTCCCCTCACCTCAACAATACTGACACAAACTCAGTAAATATTTGAGTTTTTAATTAACATCTCTATCTAAATATCCACGGGGTCGGGGAGTATGACATGCTGCTAAAATGGGTCACTCTTTCACTGAAAAATCCCTAGATGTGGGTCTTATTTTTAAGAAAAAATCCCTAGAACTGGGAGGGGTAAAATCGGAATCCCAGGGTTCAGATATGATTCACTGATCATTCAATGGCGGTTTCAAAATATTCTAAAAACATAACAATATTATGTTGGTGACTAACATCAAGAAATGTGAAAGGAATATGCTAACATCAACTAAAACATCACGACAATGTGTGATATTTGAAGATTAGCCAGTGAAAATTAGAAAAAAATGAAGGTGGTAAGCAAGAAACTTTATAATGTTTGTCATCTTCTTAGCTCTAGGGTTTCCATCCTCTTGAACTTATTCTACTTATTATTTAAAAAACAAACAAATCTCCTTTCCACTGGGTTTACACCCCTTGATGTCTGTGAAGAAAAACTGTGGATGTGGGTGCATGTTCAAAAGAAAACCCCTAGATTTAAGTCCAGTTTTAGAGAGAAAAACCTAGATTGGGTAGATATTTTGAATCTCTACTGCATCCCCCGCCTATACGAAAAATTTACCGGTCCCCCCACATATTCCCCATATCAATTCCCTCTTGGGGAATATCTACTTTTTATCGCACTTTGAAAAAGTGCTATATTGTCGTCGTCTTGTTATTGTATTTTTAATCTTATCATTCAATTAGGTCTAACTCCTCCATTTTCGTTTAATTTCAGACTCGCTGTTAGAATCTTTTGGTCGAACCCAGCCTAATAATGCAAACAGGTCCACTCAAGCCACTCATCATGGGGAGGAACAAGTTATCCAGAATTCAAAGGAACAATTACAGTTCACATACAACCCTCTGAATTCTATTGAAAGGTGAGGCAGAGTCATGACCAATCATGGCAATTTCAAGCATTCTTAGAAGTCCTATATTTTTTACTGAAGACCAAGATATTTCAAAGGTTATGGTATTGTATAATATTTTAATTAAAAATTGGAAGTTATGGTTTCTGGTGTTGTTTATTTGTTCAAATGGAGCAATGTCTTATGTATTCAAAATCATTGAAGCATTCAGAGGAGAGGAAAATTAGTGATTTATTGACAAGTAGTGGGTTTGGTCTGGAGTTTAACCAAATAAGACATTCTGACATAAAAGTTCACGTGTGACCGAAAGATTCACATAGTCATTTAAAACCATGCATTAAATGAAAGCACAATTTATCAACTTTTGATTCATTTGATCTCTACAAAGTTTGATGATGGAAATAAGAGTACACCCTCTATGGTTCATTGAATAAGATCATTGCTTAGTTAGAACGTTGGCCATCCAATGGCATATGTTATCATAACAGGAAGAAGAGAAGTGAAACAATACTTAATATCGTCATCTTATCATCTGTGGTTGCCATTTTTTAAGCCCTGAGTGTTTGAAATGCTCCGGAGTGAATGTATCAACGTTTTGGTATTTCACCGAAGACATTGGTATTAAAAAGAACATGTTTGTATCTCTGCATTCAAAGGAACAAATATTTTTATCGAAAAAAATAAAAACAACGAAGGGGATGAAGTATGCATATTGCATCCATACCTTATAATTTGTCTTATATCATTTTCAGAAATGACCAGAATAGTTTGTCAGTAAGAGTTTTACATGAGAATAAATGGCGGGGAAAGAAGAAAGACTTTTGCGACGATTTCTGGACAAGTATCAGAGAACCTTACAGTGCAGTAGAAGCTGTGACTTTAGTAAGAGCTCCTTATTGTTTTCTTTGTAGTATTCCCGGGCTAGTATTGTAAGTTTTTATCAAAACTCACCATTTTGTTTGAGGACACCTAATATGTTTATGGCATCAAAACTTTTATAAATACAGTACTCACTGAAATATTGAAACAAGTCCATTTGAATAAGTCTTAGAGCCCTGATTTGAGCAAACACGTCACATTACAATTCCGATATTGTCTTTCATGTGCAATATCACAAAACTGCTAATTTTGAAATATTGTCAAGAATCAAGTCACGGGTGAATGATTTGCCAATTAATTATCATTTGATGTACATTTGCAGGGTTCTGTTGTCGTGCTTGGCCTTCACCTTCATCGACTATTTCCACAGAAGGGTCACAATGATAAGTGCTTTTACCAACAGCTATGTCACATGGTGTCATCCATGCCAGGCTCCACACAGGGGTCCAAGAAATCTGTCCTACCTTCCTTGCAGGGTTCTAAAATATCTGAACCTGAGATAGAGACACCGGTTGAAGAGGCTAATGCTCCCACAGAATTGCAGGTATTTTATGCAAAACTTGCATATTTTGGATTTACCTTTTAAGACATATCGCATACATAGCATAAGAGTTTCTGAAATTATGTTTTAAAGATCAAAGTTTTTTATAGCTAAAGATTATACAGTTAAAGCTTGCATCAAACTATTGTGTACCCCTTTGTAACACACAGAAATGGGAATAAGGAGAGGGAGCAAAAGCTTGATACAAGGTTTCTATAATACAACATTTTACAAAGGAGTACGTGGGTTATCGCAAACAATTTCAGAAGGTTATATCTTGGATTATGACTATTTTCTGACAATAAAGACAAGTTTATCTTTTAGATCAATTCATTATCTCAAAGAAAATTATACACAGTAATAATAAATTCAAACAAACTGGGTGATATTTAACTAGCAATTAACCCATCAACACACTTTTTGACCCCATTTTGAAGATGTTGACCCCATTTTCACCAAAAATGCAATCATTTTTTACAATGTTTAATGCATAACTATTCTTTATTTTGATGTATCAAATAGTTCTTGAAAGAAAAACTTAATTGCATTAAGATAAGTGTTCCCCATGTTATTTCTCCATTGAAAAACCTCATGCTATCCATTGGTTTCAGTTCATTTTGGTCATCCAAATTGAATATCTTTAAAGTCACTGGAGCAATCAAATTTTCCTTTTAGGAAATCGAACATGTCTCAAAGCACATTCTAATTATGCATTCAACAATATAATAATAGGTTGCATTTTTGGTGAAAATTAGGTCAACATTTTAGAAAAAGTATGTTGATTGGTCCATTGCCCCTTCAATATCACTTAGGTCTGATTAACTAAATTATCATTATACATGTATATACTTTTCTTGGAGATAATGAATGGATCTAAAAGATACACCCATGTTCATGATCAGAAAATATTCATAATTCAAGTTAAAATCGTTTGAAATTGTTTGCGATAACCTACGTGCCACTTATGTTATGCTGGCCTGTAAACGAACTTTTAGTTAGTGCACTTAATGCTACCCAAGCTGGTCTTATCAGCTAGTGAGTGACGTCACTGCTAGGATTTCCTACCATATGGCCTAATGCTTACACAGAAACTCTTTGGTATCTAAAATGTGTGATCATCTTAAAAATAGTATTACAGCTTGTAATTAATACTGAGTTGGGTCTTGAAATTAACACTTTGTGAAAGTACTACCCCTTCCTCTAATGTTTCCAGGGTTTCTCTTAATTTGAGTGAAAGTTTATCAGATTAAAGCACCTTGATGACAGGCTGGTTATTTAATAAATGTATTCTCTCTGAACATTCTGGCAACTTGAACATTAAATCTCTCAAAATTGCAGGAAGGGATCAACTTGATTCAAAATTGTTCATTTAGAGAATTGTCTTGCCTATGCAGGATTGAAAGAATTGTTTTGATCCCTTCCTGCAAACGCCCCCCAGACATATTTTACTAAGACTACCCCCAAAATTGGGAAACCCTAATCCTAGTTACTTCTCACAAGCAAGTGGCTGTCTTTTAATAGCAACCAAATGCCAGCAATGTTAAAAAGGTCAAGTTACACATTAGCGCTTTAGTGGTAAGACAGCTATGCAGGCTTTGTTTACATTCTGCAGCAGCTGATAGCAGGTCACCGGCTTTTCCTAAACTAAAAGATCACTGCGTGGTGCTCCTTTGCAATTATTTATTTTTTTAGGCTGGTGCGGAGAAACCAATTAATCTAGAAAATAATCTTTCTCGGGCCATCGAAAACTTTATGGTATTAGCCAGTCAGTTCAAGTCCTTGGTTCATCACAATGCAGGCTTAGATTTTGCTAAGAAGGGCCAGTATTCTAATGCAGTGAAAGAGTGGACCATAGCAAGTAGTCAAGGCTATAATAAATCACAGTTTAACCTGGCACTCTGCTATGAACTAGGAAAGGGCATTGATAAGAATCTACAAGAGGTTGGTCTTTTTAATTGTGTAATTTGAATATCATGCATCATCATTATTATTAATATCATCATTTACTTTTTTCATCTGCTTTTCTGAACACTGTCAGTTCCAGTGGCGTTCGAATTAGACAGGTTTTACTGTAATTGTAATTCAATTAATACTTCATAATCACAAAAATCATACACCCAATTCCTCGTAGGCATTAAAATGGTACAAAGAAGCATCAGAGAGTGGTCATAAGGAGGCAATCTTCAACCTAGCAGTGATGCACTACAAGGGTCTTGGTGGATTGAAGCAAGACAAACAGTTGGCTATGCAGCTTGTAGAGAAAGCAGCTAACCTAGGATTAACTAAGGCAAGTAACCTAAAACTTATAAAGCTGACCAGTGTTAGTGGAACATCAAAGGTGTTTGAATTTGAATACTTAAATCCTGACGCAGATATTTTAACAAAATGCTTTAATGAACCTCTGTGAGTAAAACACCTTTAAATAAGTAGAACACTTTCCAAAGTCTTTTACCATTAACCTTATTAAAAATGAACTTGTAGAACGCATCCCAAGTGGAACATCTTCATAAGAAGAACACTTCAAAGTCCTTAGATTATCAAATTGACTTAATCTTGAATGAACCTCTGTGAGTAGAACACCTCCAAAGTGAACACTTTAGAAGTACCAAAGGTGTTCCACCAAACATTCACTAAACTGACAACTGGTGTAATTTAAATTGTATTCAACTTTAATTTTTTTATTTAAAAAAATTATATCAATTCTCCAATTTTTTATTTCAGATACAAATAAATAGGTTATCTTACCAATATGAGCGCCAATGAAAAAAAGCCAAGTGTAAAATAACCTGAAATAAACAAATATCTTATTTTGATGAATAGTGTCATCTTGTAGATCATATGGTCCCATCATATGATCAAATATAAGATGTTAAATGATTCTGTAATTGCAGGCTCAAGTTCGATTAGGTCTGTTGTACACTGAGAGTGACGAAAACAAAGAAGAGGCTGTCAAACTTTTCACTAAAGCTGCTAATAAAAAGGTAAAAGATAACCTGATTGATTGGGTGATAAAAAGTTTGAGTCATGTTATTGAATAGAGCCCCACAATGCATCTGGGCAATCCCCTTGAATTAAATAAATTTTACATAAAAAATTTGTGAGGAGAAGTGGACTCATTGTTTAGCAATCTTTTAACATTTTACAGCATACTTAGTACTCTAAACCCATGATTATGTTTTGACAGTAATGTAGGTGCTTCTATATTTTTCTGAACATTTTTAATTGATAATAAGTTACATGAATGCTTACATACAAAGATTTGGAAATGGAAAAATGGAAAAAAGTGAGACACAAAAAATAAGACGGTATTCTATTTTTCAACTGAGTTGCGTCCCTGGGACTGGCTACTGCGAACACTGCATTTGACTGGAAAATAGTACTACTGCTAAATACCTCTGGTGTTGTATAAAGTATAGATACATAGACCCATGCAATGTGACCCCAAATAAATAAACAACCTATACACAAATCAATGCTTTTCATTTCAGGACCCTGATGGACAGTATTATCTGGGTATATGTCATGAGAATGGCTGGGGGGTGAAGGTGAATGAATGCAAAGCTTGTGAACTCTACAACCTTGCAGCCAAAGAAGGTCATGCCAAAGCACAGTATAACCTTGGGGTCTTCTTTGAACATGGACGAGGAGGTAATAAAATATTGCTTTGTCACATATCTTGAACATCTCAGATACAAGTATCATGATTGCCCATTCATATGAGTGAATGTAAAATATTTGTATTTTTATTCTTTTTTTACGATGCAACTTTCAGCATTCTCATTGGTCAAAATTTGTAAGGGTGCAACTGCAATAGTGCTTTTAAACACTGGGTACAAGCATGCATGTATCACTTACTTGTTACATTTTGTTTTGAGACTAGCACTATCATTGATCAGTTATTCTTCGGGCAGGAATCTCTTATATTTATATGTATTATATTTATATCTACTACTTTGCAGGTCTTCCAATTGACAAGAAAACTGCGGAAGTGTTTTATGAAAAATCTGCAGAATCTGGGAACGAGGCTGCTAAGTATGATTTGGAGAGACTTCGTGCTGAGAGAGCTGTTGAACTCTGGACAGGTAATGTTCACATAGCTCAGTCTTTAACAACCAGATTTTCCCATTACACGCTTGGTGCCTAACAATGGAAAGAAGAGTGCAGTAAAACCTATGCCATTAGAACCATGAAAACTTCAGATTGGCAGGTGTTCACATCTCAGTTTTTTTAACATGGAAGTCTATAACTGATTTTTGAAAATTGGACCAAAAAGTTGTTCATTGTGAGAAGTGTTTTGATTAGAGAGATATCAGGATATAAGGTTTTACATGTAATTAAACACCCTTTGATATCAAAAATCAGAAAACATACTTATCTGTTAATTGTTTTAAAGATTATTATTGCAATCTATTATTTTACCCTACTTTATAATATTAATTTTTATTGATAGACATTTCTCCTGTTACTTTCCATTATCAATTTTATCATTTCCTGTTTTTTGCAGATGAACAAAAATAGTAAATACAAAAGCTCAAACATGCAATTAGTGCTTAAATACAAAGACTAATGACTATACAAAAGTACTAACGAATCATAACCTTTATATGGAATACTTTGAATTTTGTTTTCAGAAACATTTGATCAGATGCCAGACAGACTAAAGCTTGGTTTCTTTGAGCACAATAACTGTGGGCAAGCAGAGACTCAAACGCACAACAGTATAACTAACAAAGCAAACAGTGTTAACGAAGCAACAGAGGTGGATAACAAAACAACACACAAAACAGCTAATACTCTTTCTACTTCTGAGACGGTAATCAAACAAAACAATGACAGTAACTCACTGGCTATTGACCTTGGGTATGGAACATATGAGGATGTTCCCAAAATAGCGCATTCAAATTCATCGCCTACATTTTCATACATCGACCAGAAATCCAATGAGTTTTATCTCAATTTGGACTACCAGCAATATAATACCAAGGATATTCTTGGTAATTACAAGGTCGGCTCTCTTCTCCCTCAGTTCTTAAATCAAAGAATTGCTGAGTCACCACCGAAGTTTTACATTGGGGGTGAAAATCATGAAGACACTGGTGCTGAATATGAGTTCACATATTTTCAGGATGAGACTGTCGCTAATAAAAAAAGTCCTGCAATTGTAATGTCAGGGATTAATAAGTCAAGAAGCGCACAAAATTTTGACTTAATACAACTTGGAACATAGTTATTATGGTACTAATAAAGAACATTGTGTAGAAATATTTCCTGTGTTGTTTATATTTTTGTATTCAGTAAAGCCTAAGTCACATTTGCTCTACGTAGCTTCACAAAATCAATATAGAAAATCCACCTTGTACTGCTTATCCCTATATTTTATGCTGCATATTTCTCTCAGATTTTGGGAAGCTACGACCGACGTACGGTACGATTGTTGTAGATCAAGTGTGATTGAGGCACAGCGATCTTTTCATTCGAAATATATTTCCATTCTCTCATAGCATCAGCTGTTACATAATAAACATGTAAAAAATTTATTTTTTGAAGTCAAATAAACTAAACAGCAGTGCTATTACTGACTATGTGAGTTATATTCTTAATTATTTTACTGCTATGTAGTCTATTACATAAAGTTGCAACAATCAAATGAAGTATGATGTTCAGATATTATTACAATCAACTCAACGATAATTTAATTTATTTTGTGGCACCTTGTCTACTATTTCTACTCCAGAATGGCTAAATCTCACCACTTAGTTGCTTAACTCTATATACGAACTTGACCTTGGTTTTTTTAATTAATCGAGTGGGAGGGGATCGAACTCTATGTTAAATGTCTTTTTCCACAAAATTTTTAATCTCATTTCGAATACACCATTGTGAATCATTTTTACCAGAATTAAAGAGATGCTAATGAGACTTCTCTGTGTCATTTTTTCTTTATTCCTTTTTGTTTTGAATTTTTTACACCATAACATCAACTAACTACTCAATATGCAACTTTTCACAACGTAGAATTTTAAAATATTAAGTTTAAAATTTCATTTTTATAATGGAGCTCAATGGGAAAAACAACATAATTTGAATTATTTTCAAACGTAGTGGCGATTTTAAAAGCATATCTTGCAGCATGTGTATCAAGTGATCATTATTTGGAATGGTATTGTATTCCTTAGCAATGATGACAAAAAGGTAAAATCGATCATATCACATACTTATAGTTCTTACCATCAAATCGATCTATTATAATGCATATTAAACAATATAGCAGTAGATCTTCAAATTCAAGAATTGAGCTAAATTGTAAGATAATAAATAAATTGCTAATCCCTTATAACTGTATAATCCCCTTCTCCGAATCATACTGAATTATAATATTTCAGTATGCTTATTTTAGCTGCTGTAGTTTAGCTCACTTTATGAGATATTCAGTAACATGCTGTCACTAGAGACAAAATGACACTAGATAATCTCTCGAAATATTTTCTTTGGTAATACATCCATTCTTGAAAATTGGCATTTAAAGCTTTTCAATTCAATTATGAATTTAGTGATCTGAAAATTTTCAGGGGTAATAGTTCGTCCACCTGTAGCCCTTAGGTGTAGCATCTTTTTCTAGCCATATTTACCTAGGCCTGCTGGAATACCTATTTCACTGTGCAAGTTTAGCATTGTTTTCTCATTGATCATTTGAGTTCTCACGTCAATAACATATGAAAATAAAAATGATAAGAAGTCAAAAAGAGAAGTTTATTTTATTGTAAAATATCAAAAATAAAACAAGGTTTGGTCAGGAAGGTAACAGGTGAACTCCTTGGGATATATGAATTAATTAATTATAACAAACATATTCATATGTCGATAATTTAGGGTAACCCTGTGTATTATTCTACTGAGCATGGTTATACCGGTGCAAGATATTACAAACATATTATCAGGGTACCATATAACATTTATCTGGTTTCAAACATGCAAAATGACAGGTGTCTTTGAAAATAGTTTACGTTATGCTCCCTTTGCAATTATCGCCCAAAAAATCAAAATTTTAAAAACTGTTCAACATTCCATTTATCGTATTTAACCATAGGAACGGTGATATTAGCAGCTACAAGTAGCTTATACAAGGTAAGAATTTAGCACATTTAGTTTTGTCGTACTACTGAGTCAATTATATGCAGTTGATATGCAGAGAGACTGAAAGTGAAACAGAAGTAAGGTACAGCTGGAAAATAACATTTTGGTAAAAAATTGCTATACACATGCTATTTTCTGGTACAAAATTAAGTATGTAGGCATGTGTGTATTTCCTTGCTTTTTTCAGGAAAGTATCATTACACTGTCTACTTTTAGTAAACCTGTGGAAACAGGTCAATGGTATCTCCTATATTTAATTTCTATTGAATGCCCATGGGAGTTATTGAGTAAAATATTTTCATGGGACATGAACTTGAAGGGACAAGTTTGGACATTCCCATGGGACATCAGGGGACATTGTCCCAGGTTGTCCCAAATTGTCCCTGGGACATTGTCGGGCGTTGTCCAATTTTGTTTCAAATTACCCCTTTATTACCCAAGAAAAGAATGAACATGTTGATTCTTTTCAATGGACTTTACTGGACAAATGAGGGGAATTTCTTGATGTGATGATCATATGACTATTTTCAGACAAGTTGGGACAAATTTGACAAAGGGACAAAGTCAGACAATGTCCCATTGGTGTATGGCTAGAGTGAATACGTCTAAACCCAAACAGGGGGGGGGGTGGGTTTACCCGAATGGGTTGCAAACAAGGGCAAGCAAATCATTGAATTGAATAATAGTACCTCTACTACCTCTATATAATATTTATAACCTGAAAGATACCATATAATGATATATACCAACACTCTTACAATAAAATACTCAATTATGATGATTTAGGTGTTTGGAATTACCCCCATGCTAGTGTTTGGAATCACCCCCACCCCCAAACCCTATGCCTTTAAATAAATAGATGTCACTTATGAATCAATTATATTTGGGGTTATTGATATGCAGGGGCGCAGGATCCAGTATCATTAGTTCAGGGTACCATATAATGATATACCATCAATCTAACAAGTAATACAATGAAGTTAAGTTAAGTGTTTGGAATTACCCCCATGCTAGTGTTCGGAATTACCCCCTAAAAATCTCCTGTTTGGATTTACCCCCCTAAAATACATTGTAGTTAAAGTGGTATTACCCAGATTTTTTGACAATTTATCGGAATTTTTTTCTGCAAATGCATTTTACAGCATCTAATTCACATAACATAATATAAAATTATTCTACAGATGTGCAGTACAGCCAAGCTAACTACATTTTTTGATGGGGGTGTTTGGAAATAGACCTGTGTTGTTCATGATGAAGCATTAGCGTAGCTCTTGATTGAAAGTGTAAATGCTTTTTGGACTTTTCCATTTTTCCTCGTGTTGACTTCCGGGAAGGTGTTGCTCCTATCACGAAATAACGTGTTGACCCTTGAACTTTAATTTGCTGACATGTCAACCAACCATGTCTGATGTGATAATAATTATAATATTAAAAAAATGAATGTTTTGCGGTTGTTTGCAGAAGAGTTTAGGACAGGGCAGAGGAGGATGCCTGTTCTAAGATAGAAGAAACTGCATGATCTTCAGTAGAATTGTTGGTCTGAACAAAATGCTGCACAGAAAGTATTATTGGGTCTTCTGCTATATTAGTCTATCAATACAGTAGAACCTGATTGTGATGTTTTATAATTTAGACCAAATTATAGAGGAATAAACGCATGTGTAAATCATAAAATCGACGAACAAACATTCAATTTTCACATTCCCAGGAATTTTTCGTATTGAGACTTCCGAAACTTAAAAGAAAATCATTCAGTTTCATGGTCTCTTGGATATTGTGCTAAATACCCAGGTAAATGCTAGATGGTTAATGCAACAAAGGTGATTGGGTTTCATTGAAAGGATTGATATCGATATGGTGAACTTTTTGAACACACATTTCTCTTAAATCAGTCATCAAAAAATTCTGAAAATTTTACACATCGTCAATTTAATGGTCATCTTTTGAATCATAACAATGTAATTTGAAATATATTTAATAATATTTTTCTCTATATTGTTTTAGAAAACACATCAGACACTTCTTTTATTCTTGGTATCATATGTTCGGAATGAAATGAAACATCTATCCGAACCTAAATGGAACAAAACGACATAACACAACGTGTTCAGGTCTCTCAATATTGTAATTGTACAAAGGAAAGTTTGGTTGATTTTAAAAGAGTATCTTGTTAATGAAATAAAAGTTTTATCTTAATTTTCATCTATTTTGGGGGATTTTGTTTTAAAAAATTTCCTTTGTATAACTATAATATTGAGACTATGAGAGGTCTAAGAAAATGTTGTTGCTATTTTTTCCCAACAAGGTTTGGAAAGACTGGCAGAAAGGAGCAAAAAACAATTGTACTTAAAAACAAAAAATGTTTACAAAAACAATGCAATATATATAAATAATTTTTGCATTTAGATCGTTGTCAGTCGTGTAGATATTAAACCAGACCTCCAACAATTTAAGAAAATGTCTCATAGTAAAAATGTCATAACTATGATTGCAATAAACAGTGGCCAGATACCCGTGGTTTCACATGAGGCTGAGTCTGTACTGTTTCTCTCATCTAGAAGTGGTTCTGGATTGTATACTTCCAAAGACAGTATCTCATAAGTCATATTCATCTCGTATAAGTCCCCCTCCTCTGCTAGCATTACAAATGTCTCATATTTATTTGTCATATTTCTATCGATCTCAAGATTTTTTACATTAGGGAATGATACATTGAACCTCATTATTGTTATGATGGTACGCTTTTTGATTTGATAACGTTCAGAAGGTCCAATATTACGAATACAATCTATGTAACCTATAGGAAAAAATGTGTTTCGTAGAAGATTATCCATTTTCTCGATATTTTTTGTCACTTGTAGTGCCAATGTTGTTGCACTTAAAATGGTGTGCACTAACTTCCCTTTCATAACACATCTTTCCCCATTTTTCATATAACCATCAGGGCAAGCCACTGCAATACAGCTTGACTTCGCTGTACATTCAAGTTCAAACCCAACACTTTGAATTCCTGAAGAAGAACGGACATTCAGCTTTCTTTTATTATCCACAGAAACATCAACTAATATTTGAAATGAGAAAATCTTAAATGCAGGTTTATCTCTGTATCCAAGATTTATGTGGCAACTTCGTCTCTTAATATCCGTGGGGTTAGCACAATACCAACAAAACTTGTTATGGTACACTATCCCAGGGACAGGATAAGGGTCATCTGTTGGAGCTTGAACAGGGTGAAGCCCCGATGTTGCGCAGAGCTGACTCAATGTTTCATTAGCACAGTTAGGGCATTTATACACAGTAGGCACACATCTTCGCACTCTGGCATTATTTGGTGCTAAAAACTTGAAAAAACATGAATCGGAAGTGAGAATCTTTTTAACGAAGTTCATATCTGGATTTTTCACGTCATGGTCTGTTAATATTTTCTTTTCACATACTGTCTCTATTGCCCACAGTTTTGGCTCTTTCACATTGTTACATCTTGCACAGTCAATATTCTTGTAGACAACACCTGTTTCTGGATCTACAGCTGGGGTTTGAGGCATAATTTCATCATCATCATGTTCTGGAATTTTACACGAGACCTCCAGATGTGATCCATGATGGGCCAAATCACAACTAGATACCAGATACACAAACATAGTTCCGTTTATCGCTACGCATTCATATTTTTCTCTCTCACTTCTATTTATGTCGATTATCTTTGTTTCATTCGTCAAAATATTTGAACATGATTCAGTAAAATCTGAGCAGCAATCACCGTAATGAAAGCAATCTAGATCGCAAGAACATTGCCCCGTACTGCCACAGTTATTTTTGCAAGAAAGACTATCACAAAACATTGGTGTTTCATGGTTTTTCCAATTGGGATGGTGTTCTTTGCAAGCTCTTTCTGCGTGAGAAATACTATACTAGTACTCTTTTGGGGGATCATTTCTCCACTTTGTAAATTGCTTCTTGATGATGATGGTGCAGAGCGTAAGTGAGTTGCTTCGTAAGTTGTCATGAGTATGTTGAGTATTATGTTCAGCAGAACAAAATGTCCGTTCCTTGCAGCGAGAAGCATTTTGATTGTGTTTGACTTTGTCGCTCTCAAGCCAGTCCTACGAAATCACAAAGCCATACAATTTTCTAATTAACTCAAGCTAAATGTATAGAGGTCATTTTCTGTGCTGCTCCGTAAATTACAACATGGTTTCTCATCTTGGCAATTTAATTGAATTGCTAGGATGAGATGAAACTTTGTAAGATAACAGAAGACATGGGTAAATTCAATACAGATTCATATTTTGAAGTATACACTCATAACACAATTCTGGAACTGGATAAAGACATCCCTGTCACATCTATTAGTATTTTCAGCAGTTTTCAATTAATTTCAGGATAATCCTAGGATTTTAAGGCTCTCTGGCAAAAATTGAAAAAGTGATGCGCCCCATTTTTCAATTTTAGTAAATATGGTCCATATTTCTCCTTTTCAAAAATTGAAAAATGGATGTCTTGTTTTTCAGTTTCAATAAATTTTGACATTTCTGCATGAATCATTTTTAGAAAATAAAACTAGTATTGGAAGGAAAACATTTTCATGATTCCCGCTTTAAACTTTCTTTCCCTCTCAATTCCTTTCAAATAAGGTCACTGTTATAACAAAATCAAATATACCAAATTTGAATTATGAAGTAACATACAGTACTGATCTTCTCATAAGGGATTTGAGCAGTTGTACTAATCCTACCCAAATGTGAAGTCAGACAATTTTGAGATCATTACCATAAATAGAAAAATCATAAAAGTAAAAAAAATACTGAAATGAAAAATGTAAAAGGTACACTTTCTAACCCGAGGATCCCTGTTTCTTAAAGATTCTCCTTTGGTGATTCAATTTAAGTTATTCTTTTCTGTAGCTTACATCATAATATCTTCAAGACTTAAAAGATCCCCTAACTTTTCTTATAGTTTTGACAATTGAAAATTTAAAAGTCCTTAAAAATCATCAAACCAGTCACATTTCTTAGAATTTTACAAGGATTTAGCTTATTCAGATCTTAAAATATGATGATATATTAAATTTATTAAAATTTTTATACCTACCAGTTGTTAAAAGCATCAATTATTATCTTTTTATATTGTTGCTAAGGTGCTGCAGTTGAAAATGTGAACTCTTCTGTTTCCAATGGTCCCTTTGAAGCATTTATTTCATATGTTGTCATCATTTATATGAATGAATAAGTGCAAGGAACTCGCATGTCTCGAAATCGAGACAATCTCTTAGAAGTATTTTAAATTTGAGATAACATTAACATTTACAGGGTCATACAGAAGTAAAGTGAAGTTAACCATATGAAAATGTTTTTCTAAAATCAGTTAAATGAGAATACAGTCTCATATTGAGGAAATATATCTAAGTATTGAAATATAGATCTGAGTGGAAGAATGTTAGATACATAGCCAAATGAATATAATTAGGCATCGAAAGAATTTGGCCCTGTTCCGGCACCATTTCGGCACCATTCCGGCAACAAAACTTTTAGACACCAAAATTTGGCATCGGACCAGGCAGTGCATTCAGTGCCGATACGGCACCGAAATTTGGCATCGAAAATCAGATTGCATTTTGGGGGTATACATATGTATGAGGGGTAAACAATTTAAAAATTTGGCAGAGAATGGAATATGAGGGTGAAAATATGGAGTTAGGAAGAAAGGTGAACTATTCATAACAAGACGAGGGTTCGGAGAAAAAAGTAGGTAACGAGATGAAAGAAAGATGAATGAAAGCTAAAATAAATAATGAGTGGAAAATTTGAGGAAGAACAAATATTGATACCTCTCTAAAATTAATAAAAGGACCATCATATGTCTTGAAAATCATTTGCATACTGTATTTATTTTTCTTTATGTAGAGCATAATTTTTTATAATTCTAATATTAAAATATAGTAGCTGCAAATTTGCAAGCAACATCATATTATGATCATCAAACCAACATATCCTTTATTATTTCAAATTTAAGATCTCAGCATCTGGTTGCATATACATGTACAGTAGCTCTCAAATGGTGACTGTGAATTGGCATATGAAATGTTTTGGTAACTCTGTATATGTACAGAGGGGCGTGACAAACTGAACCTACAGGTGCTGTTTTGCTTTTATTAATTAAAGACTCCAGTCTGTCTTTAAATAAGTAATTAAAAGCTGTAAATGTTCACTCTGACCTGTCACAAAAAGGTTGGCTTATACATTTTACTGTTACACGTTTTACTATTTCACGTTTTAGTGCAACACATTTTATTTTTACATGTTTTACTGATGCACATTTTACTATAACACGTTTTAATTCTTAACAGATAATTTAGACATTATATTTAATAGTAAGTTTTAGAATTTAATGAAGAAATGTGCTAAGTTTCTTGAACAGAATCTAATTTTATGCCATTATAATTTTTAAAAGAATTAGAAACTGTTTAAAAATATGCTTGATTTTGGGTTAAACTATAATAAAGCTAATAAATCTTTATTAGATAAGTGGGTATTGAAAGTTAATTACATTGTTAAAGTGAAAAGTCAGCATTTTGAAACTTCTGACAAGGTATTAGACCTGTGGGTTATTAGTATTTAGAAGATTTTCATAAAACATGATAAGTATATTTCTTTCACTGCAATTCAACTTTGTGAGGTTTTAGGCTTTTTGATTGACAATATTTATGCAAAGTTTGGAAGTAAATTTTAACATCAAAATATATAGGAATACAAATGGGAACAGATCATGCTCCTCTTTTAGCAGACCTTTTTCTATTCTACAAATATAAATTTTTACAAAGGATGATGAAAGATAAAACTTAAAGACCATATGCAGTATGGCAAGTGATTTTAGACAGTCATATCTTTCACCATGACTACTTTCTGGGCATAAATTTAGTGGTCTTTATTAGAGCAATATGTTTTCTTTCAAGTGAAGTACCCATGATAATAAATATATCAATCGAACAATTTGTAAATCTATGAATAGGGACCCCATGTCAACATTTTTTTTCAAAATATTGAACCTATTTACTCAAAGAGGATCTCCTTTTTCTGATTTTTATTGCACGAAAAGATTATTCAACAAGGGGTCTAAAACATCTTCAAAAATAGAATGGTATTGAAAGTCTAGTTTTGAAGATATCAATTTTCAATGACCAAAATTATGCTGAAAACAATGGATAGCACAAGTTATCCCTATGGGAAAATAACATGGGATATGTTATTTTTAACTTTAACGCATTTCAATATGCATCACCTTTTCAGAAGTTGTTAATATAATGTAGAGGAGACTTTTGATATGTTTAAATTGAGAAAAACAAGATCCTCTTTTTAGAAAATAAGCCTAGCATTTTTTTTAAAGTGCCAAGGTGGGGCCCTAATTCATAATTTTTCAGAGAGTTCAATTGATATTTTACTATCATGGGGACTTCACTTGAAAGAAAACATATTGTTTTAATAAAAACCACTGTATTTGTGACCAGAAAGTACTCATGGTGAAAGATATGACTGTCTAAAATCACTTGCCATACTGCACATGCACTGGGGATGAACTGGAAACGAGGGAGGTTTTGCCTCGTATCAAAATGGCGGGGCGTGAAAAAATTTCATTCGGTAAGATTTTTGTTTTTTACAATTTTCGTGCTTTTATCCTTCAAATTAAAACTTAATATTTGGCAAGTAAATAGTTCATAAGTTCCGCTTTTATAATATGATTACAAATTAGAAATCAATACTGGCATTGCTGAGATATTTACATATCAATTCTCTCACTTAGGAAACGAGGCATGTTTCTCAAGGAAACGAGGCAGCTACCATATATATGGTATATAGCATTCTTAAGAATGAAACGAGGCAACCATATTTAATTAAAAATTTTTTTTTTTATTACTAAACGGGGCCTACAAAAAGAAGCGTCCCTGTTCAAATGCTATTTCTGTAACACAGGAAACGACAACGTTGCTGATATTGTATTCCATATGATGCAACAGACCCCTCCATTGGCAATATGTTGAAGCTTCCTAAAAAGCAAAAATGTTATGTTGAATAGGGAAGCAGATATAGACAGTTGTGAACAAAGCTTGCTTTTATTCTACCTTGAAACATCATTTATTTTAATTCACGATAGCGACATCATAATATTTATGCCATCGACCATTAACATTTTTCATATGGCTAATAATCTAGAAAAGTTATGAATATTTCATTTACAAATGCATTACCATTTCTAGCATTTAAGAAAATACAAGGCATTAACATATGACACGTGTTATAACTTAGTAATAACAAATAAGTCCATTTATTTGCTACCATTGTAACATATGTAGATAAGAAATACTTGAAAGTCATAATAAGTTTATAATTGTTCACAGTAAAATATGATGTCAGTCTAAGCGGTACGCATTTGTTCAGTTTTTGAAAGTTGCTAAAATTGCTAAATAATTTGCTATTGACGCAAAACCCCAGACGCCGAACTCCAGACGTCAGACGCCGAACATTTCCACATTTCGTTGGACTATATGCAGAATAACATAATTGATAGTGACATAATAAGGAACATACAGACATTAAAGAATACAAACAGTAAAATCCAATGTACACCAATGAGACAATGCCAGTCTGCTCCTTGACTCTGCTATTTTTGTAATATACGTAGGCGAGTCATTTAAACAGGCAATGCGCTTATTTTTGAAGGAAAAAGGACAAAATATTATTTGAGACATGTCACTCACACAGTCAATCAAATATGATAAAAACTTTAATTTGGGTCAATACTGAAGTGAAAAGAAAATTACTCACATAGAAAACAGCATTTGAAGTCCAGAGATCAAAAGAAGTGAATTACCACTTTTCAAAAAGTGTATGTTTTTAAATAACTCTTGGACTAAAAGATGGCGCATGGTTGAAAATCCTATCAAAAATGAATGGACAATTAATGCAAACAACAATGCCATCTTTCTATGGCATTGCTAAAAACTTGACATCTATAAATGGATAGATCAAAAATATTTTTTCATGATCTAGTGTCAACTCTGATGTGGTCTGTTTGAGCTGTTTTTGGTGTCAAATGAAAGATCAGGTACTTATTAATCCATTGGAAATACTATATGAAGATCAAAAGTGACTTCATTTACGCACTTTGTCCCTTTAATTATTACCATGGTCATTCGTTTTTTATCGTATCTGGAATTATACTCGTATTCTATCAAATATAGCCATCTCGAGCAACAACAATGCCCCATTTGCGTACGATTAGTAGGGAGGTTTAACGACACATGTTTTAAAGAGAAGTGTACGTAAACGTGTAAAATTGCAATCTTCAGAGAACTAGTTCTTGTCTTCAACGTCTTTATTTGCATGAATGATTACAAATGTATCAGTTAAACTGTTTTAATTGGGTCTTTGTATAAGTCAATCCAGAACGGAACTATAGTTCCCAGGGGTCATTTCACGTTTACGTTCGCCATTTCTAAAATACGTGTAGCTTAAGCTCCCTATTAAAATAGCACTTCTTTGAACGAGATTTTTCTTATTTGAGAGAACATTTTGACGATATATGCGCTACCATTGATAGCTCGGATAGCTGGCTCGTTTATTGGAATTGACACTCAAAGCAATGCTATTTAACGTTTTCGAAATATTTAAAAATAAAACATTATAACTCCTTAGCATAAATTTTAAGCTGCAGCAAAGAATGAATCGAGTGAAGTGCATTGGCATTTTCTGTACTTAAAGATGAACCTTAACAACATGTAGCTTAACTAAATTGGTACAGTTAGACTTTTCTTTGCTCTTACATAATCATGTATATCGTGTAAAATGTAATCGGTCGTATGTGACCAGAACGGTGGAAATAAGATCATTAAATGTAGACACTATCACAGAAAGAATAGTTGCCTCGTTGCAAGTCAAACATTGCCTCGTTTCATTGTTACAAAATGTAGACAGGTGCCTCGTTTCCTAAGTGAGAGAATTGAAATGTAAATATCTCAGCAATGTCTGTATTGATTTCTAATTTGCAATCATATTATAAAACCGGAACTTATAGACTATTTACTTGCCAAATATTAAGTTTTAATTTGAAGGATAAAAGCACGAAAATTGTAAAAAACAAAAATCTTACCGAATGAAATTTTTTCACGCGCCGCCATTTTGATACGAGGCAAAACCTCCCTCGTTTCCAGTTCATCCCCAGTGACATGGCCATTTCATATTGCAAAGTTATTTAATAAGACAGATAGATATATTGATGGCCTGTTAAGTTAAGACAATCCTAAATTTAAAGATGTTGTAAATAATATATACCCTGTTGAGCTAGAGTTGAAAAAACCAGTGAATCTAACTTGAGTGTACCTTGTCTTTTACCTTCGAATTAACATTGAACTAAACAATAGCATATTGTGTAAGTTATATGATAAATATCATGATCCATGATCTGACATGAAAAGAAATAATGTCTAACACCCCCTCCTCCTCCAATCGAGAACAAATAGACGATTTCAATTTTAATATTATGAATTTTCCGCATTCAAATAGCAGTTTTCCATTGGACCCAGTATCTCAGCTTATTAGATATAGCAGGGCATGTTCAAAATATTTAGATTTTTTATGTGTACATATTCTTGGCTTTGCTGAAAAATACTAAGGATGTCAGAATTGTTCAAGATTGGCACTGAACTTCAAATTTCCTCACTTGGCACCTTTTTAGTTAGATCCAAGCTATGGTAGGAATGTTTGATAAATAGAAATCCAAACCAGTCTTAATTTTCGCCTGATGACCATTGTGAAATATTAAGCAAATATTTCATTCTATGGAGGGCAATACCTGTTCATCTTTCAATGATTTTTGCGGTATGTATTGCCCGCAGCCCGTAGGGCGAGGGAAATACATGATGCAAAAATCATTGAAAATGCAACAGGTATTGTCCGAACATATAATGAAATATTTGTTTTATTATATCATTGCTAGACATTCCCTATGATCATTTATTTTAATCAATTAATATATCATTAATCCATAAGTGAACATAATTACGTACAAGTATCATTGAACGGTACACTTTATTTTCGTCCAGTGTAGTTGTCAGAATTCCCGGGCGGGCAATACGCCGGGCAATACGTCTTTTATTATCCTAAAATTGAGGGAGCTGTGAAATACGTTATGGTATTTTTGATCACATGGTACTGACTCGACCAATCAAATCACACAATTTCTAGCAATGATATAATATTGTGTTTTATGGATTACGGTGATGGTTTTGTAAATACAGTAGATGTGGACCCTTTGAAATGCCTTTGCACTTTGAGATTGGATTTTGTCTGTCCCACATCATTTGAGACTGAATTGTCTTGTATGAGTACCAGTATCTATAACTGTATAATTCTAAATTTATTCTTTAATATGATTATATTGTAATGACCTCAGTCTGAATGAAATGTCCCTTGGTGTTATGATTTTGGAATGAGATGTTGGTACTTAAATGGTGGGGAGGGGGTATTAGACACAGTTTCTTTTTACGTTGGATTATGATTTGGGTGATTATGATATATTAACCAGAGAGATGAACTTACATAGAACTATTTTAACACAGTATGGAGGGATTCCTTTACAGCAGCTCAGAATGGTGACATATTGTTATGGTCTCCGTTTTTTGTGTTTGTGATGTTGGTTGGCGATTGGCAGTTGGCAGTTGGCATCTGTAACAAATTGTAGTGACATTTTGCATGTGATGCCTTTTTTCTTTAGCTGTGTTATGTAACCATTTTTGGTATTTTTCCACTTTTGCATACCTGTTTTAGTGAACACCTGATTCTAATGAACACCTGTATCTTTTGGCACCCTTCCTCACTGCATTCTCAACTGACTTTTGTAAAAATTAACCTCTCATTAATGAGCATACAATAAACACAATTTTGTGGCTCCATAGGTGTTTAATGTACACACTTTACACTGCATGTCATTTACTCCATAAATAAATAAATTCCATTTTAAAATTCATTGCTGATGATGTAATTTTGAAAATATATTTTTGAGTCAGCAGATGTGCATTATACTCATATAAATCAGAGAAAGTTGTAAATTCGTTCAGACACTGAAGTTCAGTTGAATATTCTTTATTTGCACATGGGACTTGATTGATTTTTTTGTTAGCCATCCCACTGTTTGTTGCAACTATGGTTGGTAGATTTACTGTTTTATATTCATGCTAACTCTAACACAGGCTGCTATTTGGTATTTTCACTTTGAAAATTTTGCAGGAACGTCGGCATCTAAAAGATTCAGCACTGTTCCGGCAACGTTCCGGCACCGAAACCTTTCAACACCGAAATTTGGTTACGGACGAATCAGTCCATTTGGTGCTGAAACGGCATCGAAATTTGGCACCAAAATGGAGTCGAAAATCAGATTGCATTTTAGGGGTTTATTATCTTGCATTTGCTGTTCATGAGCAACCCATTTGGCTTATTAGAAATGATTATGTTATTTGTTTTTTATTTGTCTGTTCCCTATTAATGGTTTATTAAATGACTGTTAGATGTTAATAAGGTACTTTCAAAAATATTCTAAACAATACAATTAGACAAACAGAGTATCTTATGCATTTCTAGAGGTTAGGTATAGTAGAGTGTATAAGGGAAATGGTGCATGTAAAAGCCTATTTATGGGGATGGTATGTCATGCGTAACATATAACAGATGTAAGTAAGCAGTGGGTTACTATGGCAACAGAATATTTAACACAAAATTTATTTCACTCAATTTCAAAGTATTTTATTTTCACTTTTCATTACATATATATAACTATAAAGTTTATGACACCAAGAATGGTATATGATGACCCATAATTATCTCAAATAATGTTTATACATGTACAAACATGTAGCAAGTCAACTATTCAAGAAGATATCACCCTCTATTACCACTATTGTACTTTTACCTTATCAAATCAGACATCCAACAATTTAAGAAAATGTCTTACAGTACAAATGTCATTACTATGATTGCAATAAACACTGGCCAGATGAATCCACCTGAGGCTGAGGTTGTACTGTTTTTCTTATCTAGAATTGTTTCTGGATTGTTTACTTCTGAGGGCAGTATCTCATAAGTCATATTCATCTCAGACAAGTCTCCCTCCTCTGCTTGCATTACAAATGTCTCATATTTAGTTCTCATATTTCTATGGATCTCAAGATTTGTTGCATTACCAGGGAATGAAACATTGAAACTCATTATAAATGTGTTTTGATTAACGTCGGGAGATTTAATATGACAACTACAATCTATATAACCTGTAGGAATGAATGTGTCTTGGAGAAGATTCTCCATAATCTCGATTTGCTTGGTCGCTCCTATTTCCAATACCGTTGTTCTTAAAATGGTATGCACTAATTTCCCTTTCATGACACACCTTTCCCCATTTTTCATATAACCATCAGGGCAAGCCACTGCAATACAGCTTGATTCAGTTTTGCATTCAAGTTCAAACCCAACACTTTGAATTCCCGAAGATGAACGGACATTGAGACTTCTTTTGTTATCTACAGAAATATCAACTAATATTTGAAATGAGAACAATTTAAATTCTGCTGAATTTCTGTACCCCAGACTTATTCGGCAAGCTTGTCTATTATAATCAGTGGGGTTGGCACAGAACCAACAGAACTTGTTATGGTACACAACCCCAGGGGAAGGATTAGGGTCATCTGTTGGAGCTTGAACAGGGTGAAGCCCAGATGTTGCGCAGAGCTTACTCAATGTTTTATTGGCGCAGCTAGGGCATTCATACTCAGTAGGCAAACAGCTTCGCACACGGGCATAATTTGGTGCTATAAACCTGAAGAAACATGACTTCGAAGTGAGAATCTTTTTAATGAAGTTCATATCTAGATTTTTCACATCATGGTCTGTTAAGATTTTCTTTTCACATACTGTTTCTATTTCCCACAGTTTTGGCTCTTTCACATTGTTACATCTTGCACAGTCAATATTCTTGTAGACAACACCTGTTTCTGGATCTACAGCTGGGGTCTGAGGCATAATTTCATCATTATCATGTTCTGGAATTTTACACGAGACCTCCAGGTGTGATCCATGATGGGCCGAATCACAACTAGATATCAGATACACAAACATAGTTCCGTTTATCACTACACATTCATATTTGTCTCTGTCACTGTTATCTATGTTTAGTATCTTTGTTCCATTCTTCAAAATATTTGAACATGATTCAGTAAAATCTGAGCAGCAATCACCGTAATGAAAGCAATCTAGATCGCAAGAACATTGCCCCGTACTGCCACAGTTATTTTTGCAAGAAAGACTATCACAAAACATTGGTGTTTCATGGTTTTTCCAATTGGGATGCCCTTCTTTGCAAGCTCTTTCTGCTAGGGAATTGCTGGTACTCTTTTTGGGGATCATTTCTCCACTTTGTAAATTGCTTCTTGATGATGATGGTGCAGAGCGTAAGTAAGTTGCTTCGTAAGTTGTCATGAGTATGTTGAGTAATGTGTTCAGCAGAACAAAATGTCCGTTCATTGCAGCGAGAAGCATTTTGATTGTGTTTGAGTTGTTGATTGTCCCTCTCAAGCCAGTCCTACGAAATCATAAAATCATGCAATTTTACTAATTTGTGAACTTGAGGTAAACGTATACGGGCATTTTCTGTACTGTAATTTGATCATAAGTAGAAAGTTGAAGGGATGGAAATGTGTTTAATGTAAGTTTCAAAAAAATTGTTATACATGTAATTTATTTGCTCTTATCCAGTATCAAGATTTACTAGTCAGGATGCCCCTTTTTCAATTTTAGTGAATTTATTAATATTTTTGCTCTCATCTTTTTTTCAGAAAATAGAAACAGATCACAATGAACACATTGTGATGATTCTTGAAAATATTGCTTCTATTTTTTTCTTTCTTTCCCTTTCAATTGCTTTCAAATAAGGTCACTGCTATAACCAATCACAAAATCCAAACTTGAAATATGGAGGAAATATCTTTTTATAAGGGATTTGAGCACCTTTAAGATCATTGCCATACTGAAATAAAATTATGAAAGAATACTGAAATGAAAAAATAAAGTGAAGATAAAATGTACACCATCTAAGCCATTTAAAGTGTCTTTGCGATGCTCATGGGGTCAAATTTCAGTTTATACATGTTTTAAATGAAGTAAACACCACTTAAAAGTCATACCATATACCGTTCTTGTAAATCTTTCTATAAATGTGAAATTTGATGTTCAAAATCGGGAACCCAATGTCAAGTGCCAATCATGACATCACGATCAGAACAGTTTTGAACATGTTGCTGGAGTTTATGATCTCCGAACGTGCTTATAAAGTGTCAGTGTAATTGATTGCCACTGCATTCAATGCAGTGCGGAAATGATTCAGCTTTGACTACTTTTGAGTCACGATTTTTCCTCCGATGAGCGAAACATATAATACCTCAATTAGAGCTCCCGACCCTGTGGTGCGTTTTCACAAAGCTAGTCATGCAGAATTACGTTCTGGCCAGTCACACTGCTACCCACCTAATTACACAGACGTATCGTCGGTGTATCATGGCAGAACTTCCTCCGGGACTAGGTTTCGGTTAGATTTTTTTATTTCCCGATTTACACCTACTTATAAGTCACGTTGTGGATAATAATTTGGCTCGAAGTTAAGGAAGATAGTCTAGTTTGAGAATGTGTCGATGGTTTTAGGTTTTATAAGTTAACAAAGACACAATTCACGTATTTAGTCCCTCGCTTTTCTTACACTGACGATCGGCATTAATATTGCCAATATTACACTGATATTGGTGTCGTCAGTGTAAGAAAAGCGAGGGACTAAATACATGAATTGTGTCTTTGTTAACATATAAAACCTAAAACCATCGACACATTCTCAAACTAGACTATCTTCCTTAACTTCGAGCCAAATTATTATCCACAACGTGACTTATAAGTAGGTGTAAATCGGGAAATAAAAAAATCTTACCGAAACCTAGTCCCGGAGGAAGTTCCGCCATGATACACCGACGATACGTCAGTGTAATTAGGTGGGTAGCAGTGAGTCAGAATACAGTATAGAAACTATACATGTTGAGTTGATCCTGTTACATAACTCAATGCTGTTTAAAATCTTACAACCAAAAGGCATTGAACCATGGGGGGATTTTGAGAAGCGTTACTCCTTTCTGGCCAATCAGAACACAGTATAACATGAAAACTTTTGAATTTACATTAGAGTTGCATAACGCATTGCCATTGCTGATTAAAATCCATAACCGGGTCTGATCGTGACTTCATGTTTTTTGTGGGAAATCTTATTTTGGCACTGAAAGACAATCAGATGAAGATGTGAGTCTGTTGGTATACTGTTTGTACCAACCAATACCCATTGAATCTTTTTGTGTAAAGAAAAATAAATGGAAATTACCGAATTAGCACTTTAAGGTTTGTTTATGAACCCTACTTGATATTAGACCCTTTGATGAATCCTCTACTTTAGATCATAAAATCTTCAAAACTTATCACTACTTAAATTTGAAAACCATTAATTTGTCAGTCTATGTCAACATTTTCTTAGAATGCAGTTTATTATTTATTAAAAAAATATACTTGCCAGATAAAATCATCAGTTATTATCTTATTTTATATTACTTATAAGGCTCAGGAGTTGAAAATATGAACCTGTTTGTTTCTGATGGTCCTTTGAAGCATTCATTTCATCTGTTGTCATCGGTCATGCTAAGCAGCTTCGAGAAGTATTCTAGATTTGAGTTCTGTTATATATCTGAAATATCTGTTTTACAGGGTGATGTAAAAGTAAAGTTTAGCATGAAGTAAAGTTTAAATGTACGATGTACAATGAAAAAGTTTTAATATGAAAACTCAGTTTAATGAAAATATCTTCTAGTATCGTGGTAGTTTAGTATGATATTAAATATATGATATGAGTGCGAAATGTTGGATATGAGTGGAAAAATATGGGGTTTGAATGGAAAATATGGAATATAAGTTGAAAAATGTGGAGTATGAATGGAAAATATGGGATATGATTTGAAAAATATAAAAATTTGCATAGTATGGATTTAATATGATATGGAACTTAAAAATTTGATTTGCAGTACCATTAGTTCTGGAACAATAATATAAGACAGACATCACAGTGCTTGGCCGATGAACACGTCTTGTTATTAGTCACGTGTACGGTATAGACCAATAGGAGAGTGGGGAATATGACAGTGATATAATAATGGTTATTTATTATATATTAGAGGAATCAATACTTATAAAACTAATCGAAGAATAATAGTTTGTATATATTTTTGTAAAAAAGAGGACTCTTCAAAAAGTCTTCATGTGTATAGATACCGAGGTAAATCATTTTTGAATTTAAAAAATATTTGAACATTATTAAAATAATTTACAGGGTGGTCCAAAAAAAGTGAACCCCTGCAACTGGCCATATTTCCCTTATTACTTGTAGGAATTCTTTTTTATTTTCACATGTTGTAGAGGAAGATCTAAAATTTATGTTGGTACCACACATTTTTCTTAGTCTTAAAATTTGCAGAAATTATAAGCCCTTGTAAAAGGGTAGGAGGTCCTATCAAATTATGGTCCTACTCTCCATTGATTTATATGGTGACCTAAATACAACTCTTTCCCTCATTATCTTATACACAATTAGGGCCAGTAAGGGCCGTTAAGAAAGGGGACCTTAATCCCCGGGGGACCATCATTTCTTTAAACCTAACCAAATATTACTGAAAATGGACAAATTGTGATTTTCAATATCCGCGATTCTTCAACCCTTTAACACATTTCCCCTGAGAATTTTTAAGCTGCAGTCTTAAAGAACTAATATTTTCTGACTTTGTTCAATTTTAAATCCTGCACATTTTGGCTTAAAACTAGCATCCTACATTTGTTAGTTGCAAAGTTATTGTGATCCAAAGAGATGTGCTAAGCTTCCACAGACGAAAACATTTTCCAGTGAAATCATGAACATACCCCTATATGATCTTGAAATGTCAATATCTTCATAAATCATGAACCAATTCTAATAATATATGGCTCAAAACATTGAACATTGGATTTTCTTTTGATTTTTAAAGATATTTGATGAAGGGGTTATCAGATTCCTGGTCACAGGGGGCAACTTCCTTCCATAAGAGGCCCCCTCTAATTGTTGGTGTAGGTAACATACCCCTGAACTGTTGAACAGTTAAAAATGCTTCAAAATGATCAATGAAAGTGTGAAATGTGTTTTCTGCTTGAATAGTGTCCCCTTTGTCATATTGTAGGGTTTTAATCTTGTATCTCTAACTGAAAGCTGTTTAAGATCATCCAATGTGTTTCAACAATTTCCGTGAATCACATTTGTAAAATTTTGTACAATATCTAATTTCCAGGCATGTTTGTTAAAAGCTTGTAATTTCTTCAAAATTTAAGACTGGGAATAAATTATGGCATCAACCAAAATTTTAGACCTTTCTCTACAACATGTGATAATATGAGCCAATTCATGCATGTATTAAGAAAAATGTAGCCTGTTGCAGGGGTTCACTTTTTTTGGACCACCCTGTATATATGTGTCCTGGAGTCAAGCAATGTAGTTGAAAGAAGGACCACTACATTTGTCATGTGAAATCTGGTCGCATTTTGTGACGGTTTGAGTGCTTTCAGGCGGAATGTGAACTGGCATGTAAAATGTGTTGGTTACTCTGTATACCCAGGAGCACAGGTGGTGTTTCTGCTTTGTTAATCAAAGGCCCCAATCAGTGATCAAAGAAATAATTAGGAATCAATTGCGAGTAGGTATAGTTATC